CGGAGGCCTCCCAGGGGTGGGCCGGGGCGGGGGCTGCCTGCAGCGGTCTGCTCCGTCGACCGCGCGACGGGGGAAGCAGAGCGCCCAGGTCCACCCAGCCGACCTGCAGGGCTTCCCGGCTCTGCTCAGCCCTGCGTCCAGCTGAGGGCTCAAGGTGCCGGCCCCCGACCCCGGAGCTCGCTCAGCTGGTGTGCGCTGGGTTCATCCCCACCCAGGGAATAAATGGGAAGAGCTGCCAGCCCCTGGGCTAGGGGCTGTCTTCTGGGTCAGCCTCTCTTTCCACGCAGGGGAAGTGGCGTGCCTTGTGCCATGTGGTGCACAGCAGCCTGGAGAGTGTGAAGCAGCGAGCGGAGGGGGTCACCTGGAGGTGCCCCACTTTGATGGCCAAGGTGAGGTGGAGGAGTACTTCTGGGCCCCAGGTGTTCCCACCATGACCATCCAAATGCTGTGCTACTTGGAGAATTTCCTCTCTGTCTTCAGGCCTCAGAAGAGCCAGTGAGGAGATGCCTCCATCCTGGGTAAGATGGTGCCTCTCCCTTGTCAGGGCTCTGTCCCTTAGGTCTTCACCTGCTCCCACTGTGTGCAGGCTTGCTGAGGAGCTGTCACCTCCATGAGCTCCCATGCAGTGGTAGGACATGTGACAGCAGCCCTGGAGCTCCTGTTTGCTGGCATGGGAACTCCCTGGGGATTTTGCCTGAGGGAGCAGCCATGCTGCATGTGACAGCTACCTCTCGGGGTGACAAGCCTGAGCCCTGGCCCCTGCCACGGCATCTTTGCTGCTGGTTTTCTGGAACAGTCGTACTGCTGGTGCAGGTTGGCACCAGTGCAGACCGATGGTGAGGAGAGGCCTGTGGCAGCCTGGCTGGAGAGCTGGGGCTGCACTGTGCTCCTCCAGACCTGTTTGGCTGCCTGTAGGATGTAAGTGAGGTCCCAGTTCTGGTCCTGGTGGTTGCTGTGCAGATCTCTGAGCTTCATTTAATACCCCAGATCCCTGGAGTTGGGGGGCTGGTGCTTACAGGTGGGGGTTGCAGATCAAGGGGAATCATGATGCTGGTTGGGCAGTGAAGGCCACGATCTCGCAGCTCAGCCCTGCGAGTGCTCTCGTGAGCAGCCAGGCCGGTGCAGCTCTCGGCTCCTCCTGACCTCGTGTTTAGTGGCTGAGTGCCGAATACTCCAGCTGTATCTCCTGGGAACTGGCATCTCTCCAGGGGGGCTGTGCTGTAGGAAGCTCTGACTGGGCTCGATCTTTCTCCCTTGCAGCGCTGCCCATGGGGGACGCCCCCATGGACGGGATGGCAGCGGAGGACCCGGGACCTTGTGCTTGGCCTGCTGAAGTCCCCAGAGGAGTACGTAGGCTGGGTGATCGGGCTCAGCATAGGCAAGCTCACCATGGCGGAGTACGCTGCCGCCTTCTCCCAATGCGCAGGCAGGACTGTGGAAGCCACCAAGGTAGGAAACGTCCCTTGGCATTTATGATGCCCTCAGGGTGAGGGAACCTGGGGTCAGGGCCCTACAGCTTGCCTGGAGGCAGGAGTGGGTCAGGTGGGAAGCAGGCTGACAATCCTTGCGCCTTCCTGAGGGCTGAGTGCTCTGCAGGTCCCTGCCCAGGCTGTGCTGCTGTTGGCAGCAGCAGAGGACAAGCACAAGGGCCTTTCCTGTCTGTCCGGAATAGCGGGAGTTCCTGTACACGGGCTGAGGGCTGACAGCAGTGCCACCCATGGCAAAACAAACGCCCTTCTGCCCCAGCAAAGCCACAGCTCCCCCCACCCAGTGGCACTGTCAGGAGCTGCCAGGATGGAGGGCCTTGACCCCCTAGTTTGTCACAGGGGGTCTGTCCCAGCCTAGTCTTGCCATTCAGGATGTGTCTCACTGCCCCCAAGCGCTGCTGGAGCAAGTGCTGGGATCAAAATCACCTTGTAGGCATTGTGTTGCTGAGACACCTCCTGCTCTAGTGTGCTCAAGTGCACCTGAGCTGCTACATGCATGGTGCAGACACAGAGCAGTACCTGAAGCCTGAGGTCTCTAGGAAGACCCAGGGGCCAGGCAGTCACTAATGAGGCTGGGGACCTGCAGACCAGGCCTTTGCTTGCCAGATTGGGCTGGATCTGGAACAAGCTCCTGAGGGCTTGTGCTGCATGAAAGATTTTTCCCACAGCCACCATTGCCACCTCCTGCCCTTTGCATGCTGGCCTTGGAGGAAGAGTGGACTAGGGTCTTCATCCAGCCTCCCACCAGCATGCTCTGGCTACGGCTTTCCTCTGCTCTATCTTCATACTGCAGGGCTGTTGCCTCCTTTATACAAACCCAACTGAAATGACTGGTGGAGCAGCAGCAGTTAAAGAAAGGCCGATCCCTCCTCACCAGTGTAAATAGCCTGGCAGACTGCTCCGCCGCTGTTCCGCTTCCTTGCATGGCTTAAGTGGCTGAAGGGGTCCCTGGGAAATGCCCCAGCCTTGTGAAGCTCCAGCCTCTGCCCTCTGTAGATGTTTTCTTCCAATTCTTTTCACAGATCTCGGTGGAGGCATACAAGAAACTTGGCTTCCCTAGAGCTAAGGAATTGGCTAACATGTTCTGCTTCTATGCCCTGAAGCCAGACCACAGTGTGGAGCTGACCTGCAAACTCAACCCCAGGGCCAGCACCTTCCATCAGTGGCTGGCAGACAACAAAGCTGCCCTCTGACTTGGCCTTCCTTCTTCCACTCAGGCTTATGCAGCAGGTATCAGGTGCTGGCTAAGGTGAGCTGCACTGAGCTGTGCTGTGTTTTCACCAGTGCCCTGGTAAAAGCCTGACCCTACAGGAGCATGTGCAGGAGCAGTGTGCTGATGCAAGGGATGGGAAGAGCTTTGCTACATGCACGTGTTCCCCTGAGACTTTAACTACCCCATTTACTGGAGACTACTTTAGGCCACTGTATTTAGAGTAAGAGGAAAGGCTGTTCCTTGCACAGCTGCAGGCAGACGAGCAGAAGCGCTGCCTTGCACAGTTTGGTCAAGGAGGCGTTCAGTGATGCTGGGGTGTTTTCCCTTCCATAGGGTTGTATCTGGTTTTCCCAGGATTGCCCTCTTTTCTGGGCAACACTGAGGATGCAGCACCATGTGGTGCACTGACTTCTTTTTGGCAGCTCTGGACCACAAAAGGCCAGCACCTTCCCTGCAACCGCTCCAGGTAGCCACAGCAGGCCAGAAGGTGGCACTGGTGCAGGCTCCTAAGCAACTAGAGAACACTGGGATTCCTCCATGGACCAAGTTCTGCACCATGGGTGAGCAATGCAGCATGTGCTGAGAGATAGTGTGTATGCATTAACAGCACCTGTGGCAAAGAGGTGCCCTCAGCACCATGCTGACAGCCCAAAGACTAAATGCTCTGTGCTGTGTGAGCTGAGAGCCTAATTCCTCAAGCCTGGCAGCTCTTAGCGGCCAAAGCCTGGCCTTCTGGCTCCAGAGATGACTGCAGTCATTGTCTCTGGTAGTTGAGTAGAACCTTTGCAAGACTGGTCTTCACATGTTGTGAGAAACTCCTGTCACTCTTCTGCTAGATTGTTCCAACCATGGACTTTAAGACCCATTAAAAGCACCTTCCTCCACTTTGGCTTATTCACAGCACCCTTAAGACTCTGCTTACATGAGAGACTAGAGACAGGGCAGTCATGCATGTACTTAGTCACTTGTGGCCACAAGGTACTCAGTACATCTAGATATATTCTCCCCTCATCCAGACGAGACATCCCTTCCTTGCCTGTGTTGCTGGGGAAGGGTTAGAGACAAAGCAGTACAGTCAGGAGTCCGGTACAGTAGAAGAGGCAGTAAGGCACAACAGTTGTTAAATATCTTTATGAGATCAATCTTATTTACATGGATACAGAATTGCTTTACAGACAGTTTAATCAGGAGGCAACGCGTGCTTTATTTCAGCAAATTAAGAAGGGCAAGACTATGACATGTCCTTGTTTAACTGGTCAATTAGTGTGTGGGCTTGATGGTAGCTGCAAGGTATAACTAATAACAGCTAGCTACAGTAACCATGAAAATACTCACTGCAAGAGCTCGACTCTATCTGGAAAGAGCGAACCACTTCACTTGTATTCTCACACATGTAGGTACAATAAGACAATGATTCTTAGACCAATCATTTACACTATCTGTGTTGCCAACATTAAAAAAAAAAAAAACAAACTTTGCCCCAAACTGGCAAAGGCCTTGGTGGTACTGTAACATAACAACTGAACACTGTGGCCATAAAGATTTTTCCAGAGAACTGGTGTGAAACTTGTACCAGTTTCAAAGCAACAGCATTTGTGTTGCAACTTTAACTTTGGAGGGGAAGGGAAACCTGAGGCAAAGTGCAGATTCTATCGCTGCTCTTTGTGCAGGAAATCAACAGGACTAGGAAACCCCACATCTGCTGAGGAACTCATGGCAACTGTGCGCTGACACATCTCTGTGGAAGGGAGATAGCCCACTCTTAAGAAATGTGCAAGATAGCTAGAAGGGCATGGGAGATTGTCATGAAGACAGGGTCAAAAGTCACTGATGCACCAAGTCTCCTAGGAGAAGATAAGCAGTAATAAGCTCACCACACACATCCAGCCCTCAGAAGGGCACCTGAGTGAAAGCGGTCATCTCAGACTCCATTCAGCAAACTGCTCCACTCTGGGCTGGAAGGACAGTTTTTATTTTGGATTTCCACTGTTTTGGATTCTAATTAATATCTCAATTTTAATTTTTACCAGTAGGACTAGAGGAATTTAAGTGAACTTCCAGCAGCAGTAGGAACTGTGGAGCAACCTCGAGAGACACCTGTGCATTACTGCAAAGACAGCATCTTCCTTTGTTACCATTTCCTAGGACAGCAGTTGCTCATGTCACAATAATTGTTGGTGCCTCAGTGGTTTGTGGCCCCTCCAGCTGGGATTCTCATTGTACTGCTGATCAACATCCTTCGCTCTCCAGAGTCCGCTGCCAGAAAGATTCATCCCCAACTGCAAAGATGATCTGCTGCTGCTGGCTCTTAGTTTCCAGTAGAACGTTTCCCTGTAGTTGAAGTAAGGGAAACACTTAATACTTCCTAAATGAATCAGCTGAAGGCACACGACCCCTGCAAGCTGTTTTGCAAGTGCAGCATTTAGAGAACACTTCCACACCTGACTTCTAATCATGCTTTTTTTGCCACAGAGAACTGACAAGTTTGAAGCGTCTTATTCACGCCTAAAGTGACAGGAAGCCGATCCCCTGGAAGCCAAGACACCACAGCCTGTCATGGCTGAATAAATAACTTCAAGTCTGCAGTGCTCTCCCATAGCAGCTCAACATCGACTAAACGGTACCTGCATCCCAGAGTAACGACACTGTGCTGAATTTGTGCACCATGGGTTTTGTTATGCTTTATAACAAAGGAATTCCTTCCTGGCAGTCGCTGGCGCCGCAAACCCAAGGTAGGGCAAGCCTAGGCTGAGCGTGCAAACACCAGGAGCTCTGCAGGCCCATCTGGGCCTCCCAGCAAACCCCTGCTTTGCCAGGCAGCATTGTAGGCTGCTCTGCAGTGGCAGCTTCAATAGCTAATGGGAGCAAACTCAGTGTTTGAATCAGGTACAGTCACTGAGTGGGCAAGTACTCCCAGGAAGCAGAGCTGCAGGGGTTAAGAGAGAAGGCCAGCCAGTTCCTTGAAGATGGATCCAGCATTTCCCTTTCTATAGCAACAGCAGCACAATTTAGTCCATGGATTTTTGCTCCAGGTAACACAGGACAGCCAGGGCTTTTCATACTAGCAGCTGGAAGGCCTGAGGCTAAGTGAGAAGCAATGCTGTGCTTTTGCTGCTTCTACTGCCCAAGAATAAATGCAGATTCGGCTTAGTGCAAGGGAAAAACAACAATAAAACACAAGAGGCTTCCTACCTCAGATGGGTTATCAGGAGCTAAACATTTTCTTAAGTTTGGTAAGGAATCCCTCCTTGTTCTCCTCAGCCTCAGGCCTATCCTCGCCTGCTTCAGTGCTAGCCGTGGCCCTGCCACCTGGACACAAACAGCAAAGGGCTGCCATCAGATACATTCCTCAGACCACGCCAGCTACATCTCCCATCAGCAATCAGCACCCTAGACAAAGTGATAGGGTTATTTTAGCGTGGGCATGGAGGCTGGTAAAGTTTGAAGTCAGCTGGTTTTGCCAGTATCCTTGTGTACAGGCATCTCCTGTGCCTCCTATGCCAATGAGCTGTCACAGAGCCACACTACTAGGACCTCCGGGAGTGACAGCAATGCAGAGCCCAGACCCCAGAAGTGAATGAAAAGAACGTTAGCCCAGGTAAGACTCAAGCCCTCCAGCTGACCAAGGGAATTCTGGTGTTGTATGACAAAGGCAGGTACCCCAAAAAACTTTGAACATGAGCATTCGGAATTTAGAGACTGCTGCTAAAAGCTTAACCAGACAGCAATGACTTTATGGAAGAAAAGACTATTGGTGGTCTCTGGAACAATCGGTCTTGCCATTTCATTGTCTGTATCATGGCCCTTTAGAACAAAAGGGTGTGAAATCAGACTGGGAACCTGTCTGAGGCAATTCTCAATTCAATGCTCAGACAAACACAGCATCAAGGTGTAAATTAAACTCGAGGGCAAATGCAACATCCTCTTGGCAGGCATTTAACAGCTAGCTGTTCAAGCTCTGTTATTACCAGTTTTTTAGTAATCCAGGGCTTGGCAGACATGAAAGTTACACCAGGATACATTACAGTGTGAATGTAAGCTGTGTGTCCCAAAACGTCTCCCTACAGAGTCCCATAAGAAACAGCTCTGTTTAGTTTATGGTGCTTAGAAAAGTTTCAGGCTAGAATGAAACAGGCCACAAGTATTTCAGAACAAGTGTTTACCAAGATAGGGAATTTTAGCTGGGATCAACTAGCTAATTTTCCTATATAGACAAACCCTAAGAAGTTTTCTGTCCCTCTGAGAAGCGGCTACAGCAAGAATAAAGGAGACCTTTTTGCTACTCTGCTTTTTCCACACTAAAAGCATCAATAACAAAAACCATCAAATCCTCCTCAAGCTTTCTTTGCACACAGAGAAAACAAAGTCCAGTCCTCCCCATCCTCCCACACTCAACTCTCGAGTTCAGACTGATGCAATGGTGTGAAATACTGTGGCCTTTGGCAGAACACGCCTCTGTTCAGGGTATGCTCTGCTTCCCAGGACACACTTTCAACAGCCACCTGTCTCTATACTGCAAACTACTAGTATTGTCTTTAAACCACCTTGTTGAGAAATTGTGGTAAAAACTGTCCACTTTATGTCTCAAAAATAAAAGATCTATACTGCATTTTTTCCCCCTTTGGCACATAAACGTCTTTAAAAAGCTGGAGTGAAAGATTCGTGCTTAGAGATCTCTCCCCCTCCCCCCAAGATCCACCCTGAATGCTTACCTACAGTGGAGATGACAATCCCCTTAACCTCTGTATTATGGAAGCACTATGAAATATAATGCTGGTAAAGTATGGCACACAGTTTTCCAATATACTGAACTTTCCTGCTTCAGCCTACGTTCCTCAGGATTTGTAATGTGAAACGGAGAGGACTTGAGTTTCCAGGAGCACATGGCAACTTTGAAAGACTCTCACCTTTGCTTAGCTGTATATAGCCTTTTTGGTTTCTAATATAAAAATAAATCACAGCCTAACAGACTTTAAGAAATTCATTGCTCCAATATGAGCAAATAAAAAAACATTTTCTAGCAGCAGAAGACAAAGCTCTTGCCTTAGTGTTCTACCATATATCTTATACTGTTAGCTGTTATTCATGCTAGATACCTCACCAGTGAAATGTCAAAGCACATATTTTTTGCTACAACAAAAATTTTAATCTGGAGCTGAAAGAACAGCTTTACAAAGCTTCTGCTGACTTCAAGCAGTCAGTTAGCAGATAGAAGCAGTTGCTTCTATCCAAGACTCTCCTATATGCACTGAATATAGCTTAGAGTGATTCTGACAGCAGCATTTCCATTCAGCTTTTAAGGAGTAATTTAGAACCCAACCCCAAGAGCACCATGAGCATCTTCAATCCTGAACAGCCATTCTATGTTTTCAAAGCTAGTGACAAACAACAGAGAACACTCTGTGAAGGCTTTCAGAGAAGTTCCCCACTGAATCTCACTGCAGTAGTTCAGGACATTACTGGCAGATGTCCATGACGTTCCTGTGCTGAAAGTGACTCTTCCTCTGGGGGTCAGAATTAAGAAACATTCCCGCAGAGGTCAGGAGTGAGTGCTGAGAAGAATGGATTAGCTCCCATACAGAAATGAGCTGAAGTATATTCCCTTTTTCTACCTCTGCTACTAAGACAAGTTACCTCTGGCCTAAGGCAGCTAAAGGCCTTCATTACCACAGCAAGATTCACCAGAACTTGTCAAGGCTCTGGAGTATCTTAAAGGTAGTGGTACTCTGCTCTCTGTTCATGCACAGATTTGCCTAGTAAATATTGGAGTAATGCTTTCTGCCAAGAGGCTATTTCCCTGCTTTATGCTACAGCCTATTAATATCAGACCAGTAAAAACACCTCTTAAAATAATACTCTCAGCAGTTTGTGTTGACATCCTGTCTGAAGATCACGTTGGCTTGCCTTCCTCCCCTTGAATCCTCAGGGAGTATTCTGCATTCCCACCCCAACTCCATGCAAAAGGAGCACTAATTCCCACTGCTTACCTGATGCTGTATTTGTGACTCCGTTCACTGTGCCTTCCACATCTGCCTCGTCCTCAGCATAGCTCATCATTAAAGCTCTCTGGCGATCTGTCAGCCTCCTGCAGGTCAGTACACAGATGGTTACCGCCGTCCTTAAGGACAGATGTTTTCTATAGGCTTCCCTAACCTGGCAGCACACGCAAGAGGCAGCTACTGGAAGGACAAGATTAATAGATCTGAACTACACTGAGAATCCCTACGGTGCTCTTAAAATGAGCACTCTATAAAGAATAATCCCTAATGGAAGAGGAGTGATATGACCCACTGCATTTCACCAACTGCAGTAAAAAAAAACCAAAGTCTTCTGAAGTGTTGAGAAGAACCCTGCGGGGCTGCAGCAAAACATACATCTGGCAAGGAGAGCTCAGGAAACAAACTCCCCAGCCGAGTGCAGCAACACAGCTATAAAGTTTTTCACCAGTGGTGCAGAGGTTCAGCAAGTAGTCTGAAGAGCAACTCCCAATGACTTCTGTTCCTTTAAGCCACAGGTACAAAAGCACAGGAGTGTTACAAGCCAAAACACTGAGTTCCATGTAGCTGGCATCTGCACAGAATCAACAGAGAGCAAGACAAATCTGCAGATGCAGTACTTGCATAGTTACAGGTTTCAGTATTTTTACAGCTGGGTTCTCAAAGTGTGCTTTTTTAAAAAAAAAAAAACAGCAACAAAAAGAAGTTTACCTCAAGCAGAAAGCAGTGTGAGAAATTAATGAACTGGCTTCTGTCCAAGAAACACTCAGCAGATAAAGCAAAGAGGCATTTTCATAAAATTTCTCTGAACTTCTTTTGCAAGGAGTTCAAGATCTCACAGAAGCTTGTATTGTATCTACTTACTGAGGAACTTTTATCTTTATGTGAATGTAGTGGTCTCCATAGCCGTAACTGTTAACTTTGGGAATGCCTTTCCCACTCATTCGGATTCTCTGGTCTGGCTGAATACCAGGGGGTATCTATGAACAAAGAGAGTCAGGTTTATCATTTATTTTAAGCATTTCTATAGTAATTATCTATTTCTATAGCAGGCTTCAAAATAAGATGGAGAGATCTGGCATGTTCATGCATCTGGACATATTCAGAAGCTGTCAGTAATGATGAAGAAGCTTTTGAAGGAAAGACCAAAGAACCCAGTACAATTTAGAAGACCTTAGACAAGATTTCTCCCTGTTCTCTGAGACAAGATACTGTAGTAATTGTGAGAGAAAGGCTTTACCTTCTCCTCCCCAGTTACTGAATTCTTGTGATCCTTTCCTTATCAGTAAGGAGGCAACGTCCAAATACCAGTGTTGCTGTGACAGACATTTAATGCCCTTGACCAAGTAATAAATAAAAATACCAAATAAAAATAAGAAAAGCTGATATGTGGACAGTATTTATGAACATACAGAAACAGGCCAGTCTATCCAGGAGAATCTTACATATGAGATAACATTCACAGTATTAACAAAATCAACCAGTAGGTTTTCCCAGCACTCAGCAGCCTGTCATTTTGAACGGTGCTTTATTGGTCCAGCAATCCACATAGGCCTTCCTTTCCCTGTCCCTATACAGGGATAGGAAAGGAAATGTGATCAAACAGGTCACAAATTACCCGACAGTCCTTACGGAAGAAGTAAGAAACTTGATACTAGCAGATGCAGGAGATTTGCCCCATCTTTCCAGCAAAGGAAGAGTTGTTGCTGTCCTACATTACGTTATGCCACAGCTCTTCTACATAACAGAACTTACCGTGATATTGATTGTCTCATATAAGCCTTGACACCTGGCTGTACCTCCCAGAACAGCCTGTGCTATTGAAATAAGGAGGTCTGAATGGATATCTGCTCCATTTCTTCTGAACACGGAACTTTTTTGAACCTAAAAGGCAAGCAGTTCCAAATAGTGAGCACAACAATATGAAGTTATCATTGTAAACCGCTTTCAAAGTTCTCAGAAGAAAACATACCAGAATGCTGTAGTCAGACCCTTTACTATCCACAAACTGTATGGCTAAAAAGTCTAAGTTAATGTTTAGTCATTTAGAAAAAAATAGATCCTGACATAACCTTAATTAGCCAGAGGCTTAGGAGGATGTTTGCTTCCTATTTCAGCAACTCCCTCCCCTAATCCAGTTTTTTAATTTATCAGTGTCAGTACAATTCTCTGGAAGACTGAGAAGATACTGTCTTGTCCCGTACCCTGAACAAGGGAAAGTCGGAATAGGCAGGCCAGCACCTTGGCAGCGGCATCACAAACTGGAAAAGAACTAAATCATCCTTCACAACAAGAAAGGTGCTGAAAAAAAGTCTTCTCCCTGACAGAGACACATATGACAGGATATGTGCAGGAGTAGAGGGCCCCAGGTACAAAGGATTTGCAAATTAGCACTTAATGGGTATTTGCAAAAGCACGTTTTCCCAGCCAGCACTTAAGTGCATTCCTG